CAACTTCACGACAAAGGATATCCTACTCAAAGAAGGAGTGTCTGTCAATAAACTTTCCAGTTTCAGAGCCAATTTCAACTTCACGGCGAAGGATATTAGACTCGAAACGTACAAGCTTGGATTTCAACTTCACGATGAAGCATATTCAAGTTAAGCCTTCACAGAAGTGAAACAAGTCATCAGTAAGTCTTCCGAGCATGATGCTTAAATCCTTCGGGTCATCAGTAAGTCTTCCGAGCATAATGCTTAAATCCTTCGGATCATCAGTAAGTCTTCCGAGCATGATGCTTAAATCCTTCGGGTCATCTGTAAGCCTTTCGAGCATGATACTTAAAATTTTTGGGATATCTGTATGCCTTTTGAGCATGATGATTAAGTCCTCCAGGCAATCTAAATCATTCACTGAAGAGTGATGAAGCGAATCTATCATAAGCCTTCACGGAAGAGTAGTGAAGCAAATTCATCAGCAATTCTCCGAGCATTATTCTTCGAGTCTGTAGCCTTTCGAGCATGATGATTAAGTCTTCCGGGTAATCTAAAGCTTTCACAAGGTATTGAAGCAAATCCAGATATGATATTCCCTCAGAAGAAGCGGAACAGATCCCTCTTTTCCAAGATTTGATATTCCCTTCAGAGTAAATGGAACAAGTCTTGCCACGATTCAATGGATCAAACTCTCCCATATCTGATATTCCCTCAGAGGAAGCGGAACAGGTCTCTTTCAAGATTTGATATTTCCTTAGTAACAGCGGAACAAGTCTACTCTGATTCAAGAATCAACTTTCCCAGATCTGATATTCCCTCAGAGGAAGTGGAAACGATCTCTTTTCAAGATTGATATTCCCTGAGTGACAGCGGAACAAATATGTCCCGATTCAATGGATCAACTCTCCCATATCTGATATTCCCTTAAAGGAAGCGGAACAGATCTCTCTTTCAAGATTTGATATTCCCTGAGTGACAGCGGAACAAGTCTACCCTGATTCAATGAATCAATTTCCCAGATCTGATATTCCCTCAGAGGAAACGGAACAGATCCATCTTTTTCAAGATTTGATATTCCCTGATGACAGCGGAACAAGTCTACCCTGATTCAATGAATCAACAACCCCAGATCTGATATTCCCTGAGTGACAGCGGAACAGATCCCTCATCATATTTCAAACCATGAAGTTGACCAGACGAAAAAACACATTGTCTTTTCATCTTTGCCCTATTCTTGTTGACACAAGAAGGGTAAAGAGGGGCAGCTGTCGACACTCATTTTTTTCTTCTCGTATTTAATATTCATTATAATTATAATTATTTTATTATTAATATTATTATTTTACAAAATTTGCAGGCCTCATCCTAGCTGCCCAATTACATAATTACACCCAGCAAATCCGGAGCCAGATTACAAGTTCTCTACAGCTCAGACCCGTTCCCATCAGTGCATAAGACAGTCACCAAGCAAGTTACTGCTGACAATCATGCCACCATTGAAGTTGATATGCACGAATTATCAAGGAAATCAATCAACCATTGAAATATCATTATTTTCACCTAAAACATCAGCATCCTACCAAACCAAGGAAAAAGAAATGACAAGAGGCTTTCGGTGGGAATGAAGAAAAAAAAAGGAAAGAAAGACAAAGGTATTAGGTGAAGAAAAATTGTAAGATGGGAAGTTTCTGCTACCTAGAAAAAGGGGTGTTTCGTGTAGCCGAAGGGAGAGGGGAGAGCTCAGTCATTTGAGGGGCATTCGAAAAAAAATCAAATTGTAAGGGGATCTTCCCCATCTTTTGAAAGCAAGAACAGGGGAAAAAATGTAAACAGAAGCTTCCTTTCATTCTTTTCGATAAGAGCAGTAAGGCAAAGGGGTTTCTATTTTTCTTTTAAATTTACATAGCAAATCAGTATCTTCTTGCGTGCATGTTTATATCATTTCGAAATTAAAAAGCAATATAAAGAGAGGATTGAGTTACTGATAAGGGACGCATGTCGATGGAGCCTCGTTAGCTCTCTCGTAACCATCCGTGTTGTGGAGTTTCGAACCAAGAATAGACACCATTCGAACCAAAACCATATCAATCATCAGCATCAAAAGATGAACGAAATTTTTTTAATCAACCGAAAACCATAAGCAATAAAAGAAAAGAAAAATCAGCAAGTAAATAAAAACTAAACTGTTCCCATCGGAGGAGGATTGCAGTCGTCACAAGAATTCAAGTCGCCTTGGATTCATCAAAGGTAAACATTTTCAGACTGTTTTGAGTATTGAATGATTATTTTGCTTGAGTGTAGGCTGTATGTAGGTTTCGGGGTTGATCTACAGGCTATTGGAGGCTATGGGTAAAGGTTTTGACTGAAGAGTGTGTGGACATGGTTGATTTGGCCTCTGGTTTGTTTCTGTCGAGAGAGAAAGAAGTAGGTAACGATTACCTTAGACAAGAGTCTAATCGGTCATCGTAGGTAGCGTTTGGAGATCGGCGTAGCGTCGATTTATGATGTTTGAGTCAGCGGTTGAGGATTTGCTTTGAAGAGGGGCTCTCCATTGAAGAAGAAAATGAGGGAGGAGTAGAGAAGAGGAACAACAACATAAATGGGTTTAGTTTCGCAGGTGATACTAGGTTAGCCTTATGTGTGTTAGGTCAAATTTAGAATATTAATTATAATCCCAAAACGGTATAGCTTAGGAGACTTGGTGTTGATTAGGAACGGTCTATTGGTCTTTAAATCCTTCAATATTTGTTTATAATTCTTTTAATCCTTAAGCGAATGTTTTACATTTAATTTTGTCTCTTTATTTCATGCATATTAATTTAGTCATAAGTGTCAGGATTAGTTTTTGCTGTTTAGACATCGAATGTTGCACTTTGGTTTTGGGCATGGGGTTATTATAATTTTAGTCCATTTTATTAACCATAGTTCTATTATTTTTAGTATTTAAAGTGGTATATTATTTCCCTCGATTGTTATGCTTTTTGTAGTTAAGAATGTAATTTCTATTTATTATATTTCAACCCTTGTTTGAAGTATGATAGTTTGTAAAATTTACAAGTGATATGTTGCGTTTTTTAGTCCTAGTTATATATCATTTTTAATATGCATGTATATATAGTTGTTAATATAGTTAAAAAAAATATTATTTTAATCCTTGATTGTAAATGCTTTTTATGATATTTTAAGTGCTTGTTAGTTTAAATGATTTTTTTTAATTAAGTTTCACATAATACCTCACGTGACCCAATTACATAAAATTGATAAGGGTAATATTCGAGCATTTTAATCGAATCTATGTCGTCTCTTGAATTTAATTAATTGAATAACCTTATTCTCTAAATATTGGTAAAAATAAATATTTAATCAATTGCTTGATAGTTTTTTTTTTATTTTTACTTTTGCATGTGATTTCAAAGGGTTTTCAAAATAATAATGTTCGATCATAAACAATTAATTTTTTTACTCTTAAAATTATTTGAATATTATTTTGAAATTTAGAATGGAATTCTAATATTTCTTTATTTCGATTGGAGTAAGAATTGATTGCTTTAAGGTATGATAGATCGGTTCTTCTCGATAGAAAATAATTTAATATTATTATTTTCATCCAAAATTTGAAAAAATGTTATTTTAGGGAATCTTAAATTAAATTAGACTCGAACTTATACATTTTATAGCAAAGACAATTAATTAACCGACTAGGTACCGATTTAGGGCGTTGTGGGGGTGCTAATCCTTCCCTACACGTAACCGACTCCCGAACTCAAATTTTGGTAACGCAGACCCCAAGTTTGTTTTTTAATTAAAATTAATATTTTATTAAAATGGCAAAAATATTTTTTTTGGGTGCCCAATCACACCCTAATTAAGGATTGGTGGCGATTCCCCAAACAACGTTTTATAACTAATCGATCGATACAAAAAATCATTTTTCGAAACGGGATCACCTCTTTTCTCCCCCGAAAAAAGACCGTTTCGACAACATTTTTTTCTTCTTTCTTTCTCACTGAAATGGAAGAAAAACCTTATTATATATATTTTTTATTCTTTTACTAATCTCTCTTATATGAACACTTCTTAAGATAATTGGATGGTCTAGATTAATTGGGAGTTTAAATCTAGATCCAGTGGTCCACATTTGTCCCATACTTCCAATAAACATTTGGGTTAATTTAGTTATAAAGACTCCATTATTTTCCCTTATTTCGATTCGACCTTAAAATTTTCTTTTAGCTCTTACTCAAACCTTTTTCCCAAAAATTAAAATTTGACCCCCTCAATTCTATTTTTTCTATGATAATTATCTTTATTTTACATCCGCATCCTTCTATTCTTAAACTTGCTAATTTAGTCCTTGTTGAAATTTTGTTTGAGTCGTTACACCATCAGGTCAGAAGCTACCACTTTAGTGGCTGAAAATTTGGGAAATAAGGGAAATTTGGGATTGATCAGGTAGGGTCAGGAATTTTAGTTTAAATTTTGGGTCGGATGTCGGTCGGGTGGAACCCTTCAAAATCGAAGGCGGGTTGGGTGACGGATGGAGGGTGGCATTTTTTGGGGGATAGGCTAAAAATTTGATCCGACCCATGCTAATCCCTAATTTTGGGGTGGGTTCTAGTAACTCGACTTAGGGTCTTCTTGAACACTTACTCATTATAGATTAGGGTTAGGTATAAGATTGGAATCATGTAAGGTTTAGATTTGGGAATTGGGCTAGATGGTTTATGAATGCTCAATCGATTAAGAAAATATTGGTATATAATAATTGAAGTATTTAGAGCTCTTTGCCATGGTCTTCTCAAATTCGACTTTTCTCGCATTGAGATTAGATCGACTCAGTAAATCTTATCCGTCAATTGATCTACTCATATCCAGTTATTTCAGTGCTAAGTTTTTATCTTCTTAAAGCTCGGGATTTATTCTAATCTATAATTAATTTTATACTTTCACACTTATGCAACTTAAACTTGTAAAAACCAGTGATGATGAAGTTATTAGAAGCAACTAAGACTCAAATCTCCAATGACTTGTTTCATACTCAAATCTCCATATGGTTTTAGACTAAGAGACGGGGAGAACCTTGACATCATCCAAGACAGGCCCGCACATATGCCCAAAATCATGCAACTTGGTGTGGTAGTACGCACTGTAAAATGTAATCCTTGTTCTGTTTGAGATTGCTTCAAACTTAAAACTTGCCCTCTTGAATCCTCCCTTTCCTCGCGATTCGTATGGGACTTTGAGAGTAACCTTTCCGGCGAAGGCTTCCACCATCATCGACCCGTGACAATCGTTCTTGGCATCTCCAACAGTGAATGTGAGGGTGTATAGTTTGTTGGGAACTGTTCTGATCACTTGGGAGATGGCGCTCTCTATTCCAGCAACCATTTCGATGGCGAACAGTCCCGATGAAACCGAGAAGTGCCTCTTGTCGATGAATTTTACCGGCTTTATGGATTCGATGATCCATCCAGGGAGTGGTGAAACGCTGTCTTGCTTGTGCGGAGGCACTAGGACCCCTGTTGAGTAGTTCTTGAAGGTATACGGACCTGTCTCGAACCCACTGTTTTTTACAAGGTTTCCTGCTTTGACAATGTGATGTACATTAGAAAATTCGAATACATTTCGGTTAGACCTTATTTTATACACATAAATATAGAATTATATCAAGCCTTATAGTCAAAGTTTTCTAAAACCAAAGCCTTATAGTGTGCGAATCCACATGAAAAGGCATCTATAGTATAATCATCCAGTAAAGATGAGTTAATTGCAACATATGTCCTCAAAGTATGATTCTTATTTTAAATTAGTCATTAAACTTTTAAATATTATAATTTCATCCCTAAATTGTGACTATCATTCTAAAGTAGTCCTCAACTTTTAAACATTTCGATTTCATCCCCAAAATATGTCATTCATTCTAAATTGGTCCCTAACATTTTGAACATTCCATTTTCATCCCAAATTATAAGTATATACTAATCACATCTCTTGTTAATAAAATTGTCAGGTCAAGTTATATTATAATATGTTCAAAAAAAAAATTTTAGGTTAAATTGTGGTTGAAATTAATTACATATTTGCATGCTTTTACGGATGAAATTAAATATTCAAAGTTTGGGGACCAATTTAGAAATAGTCATAGTTTAGGGATGAAATTAAAATGTTCAAAAGTTTAACGACTAATTTAGAATGAGAGTCATAGTTTGGAGATGAAATTGGAATCTTTAAAAGTTTAAGGACTAATTTAGGGACATATGATGCGATTAACGTAAATATATATATATATATATATATATATATATATATATATATTACTTGGTAAACACTTAATCAATTACCTTGTGTATAAGTTAGAGGAGGCATTTCTTTGATGGCAATGACATCCAACAGAGGTCCACAAGTAGGATCTTCTTGAACTCCTGTGTTACGGAATGTGACCCTCACTACTTTCTCCGTTGCCTTGAAAGCAACAGCCATGGTATCACCACCATCGGTGCTATAAAGGGTCTGAATGGAGATGTCGGAGGTCTGACCAGGCACCGAGACCCTGAGCACCTCATCTTGGGCGCAAGTCCTGGTAGCACCGAACGTGATCGAGTAAACGAACCCGGGGTTCACATTCACGTTCTGATAGATCGAAGCCTCGTTGCCAAGCCTCACTGCATGTGCACCACGGGGAATGGGGAAGTAAAACCCACCAGGCTGAGGACCCCCCGAGACGAACTCCACCAGGCCTTGGATTTCCCATCCTGGAAGCGAGTGTTTCCCCACGATCACTGTCTTGTTGAGTTTCTCTTTCTTGGGTGCTTGCTCGAAGTTGCCGTTGTTCAAGAATCCTGGACATGAAAAGATTCATGGTTAGTTTCAAAGCTAATGTCTGCAAGAAAACGAAAGCAGGTATGCTAGCAGTTGTTTACCCTCGAGTGATGGGTAAACGGATGGTGCACGAGAGGCAGCACACAGAGAGAAAACCAGAGTAAAGCAAAGAGAGAGTAGCCAAGTAGCCATTGTTTTGATGAAGATGCAAGCAGCTTCCAAAGAAGTCTTAAATAACAGAAAAGGGCAAATTGGCATTGAAAAAGGGTTGGTAAGATCTAATGTTTATACGTAAAACGTTGAGAAGGAAGGTAGGGAGGAAGGACCCAAATTAGCCGTGAGATGTGTCGCTTTGTTTCTATTTTTCATTTTCTTTTATTATTAATACGAGCTGATTATAAGGTAAAGACTCTTAATTAGGGGTGAGCATTCGATCGAGTTGATTCTTGTAAAAAAATTTCGAGTCATTCGAGTTGACGAGTCTTAATTTATAACTCAAACTTAACTTGAAATTTTTTCAAGTCGAGTTGAGTTATTCGAGTTTCTATACAAATTTTATTATAATTATTTATAGTATTATGGTAAGGTTTAATTCTAATTTTTTGATTTTCTTTAACCATAATATATATATATATATATATATATATATATATCATATTCTTTTCACATTATAGTGCTATTTAATATATTAAATATAATCTAAAATTATAAATATATTTACAATATTATATTTTAAAGAATATATTTTGAGGGTAAAGTATTAATGAGAGTATAAAAGAGTCAAAGAATTAATTAGAAGAAAGATTTTGCAAACAATTGTAGTCAAAATACCAAATTGAGTAAAATGCAAAGTTAATGGACTAAATAAAATGAGAGTATATTTTTAGTAAAAAATAGGAATTGAAGTTACATTGGTATTCTATAGCGGTATAGTTACATGTGGTTCAAATTTGATAAAAAAAATAGAATTAAAATGCAGGATGAATTGAAGAAATAAGGAAATCATGAAAAGTTGGGACTAAATTGAAAAATTAAAAAAGAGGAATAGAAAGCACATATGTATTCTACGGTGGTTTAGGAGCATGTGATTCAAATTGGTAAAAAATGGACTTAAAATGAAGGAGAAATTGAATGAATAAGGAAATCAGACTACATCGCAAAACTATCAAAATATCAACCAAATTTTTGGTTTTTCGAGTAACTCAAAAATTCTAAATTTCAACTCGACTTGAATTTGTAAACCAAATCGATAGTTTGAGTTGACTCGAATAACTCGAATCGAATCACTCGAAATTAAAAAGAAGATCGATTTTTCAAGTCAAGTTGAGTTTTGCTCACCCTTACTCCCAATAATCTGACAATAATCGTTCAAACACCTCTTATAAATATAGTGTTCGAATCTTAGACATTTAAGGATAACAATCATCCTTTTAATCACTGAGGTAACTTAATTCTTTATATTTTTAAAATAATTTATTTTTTATATAAAACCTGAATTATAATTATGTATCTTATAATAATATAAAGGTTAACACTATTGATTAATAGTGTCAAATTATTAGATAGAATTTGTAAATCTTATAAAAAACACATAAAATCAAGAATGGACAGAAGAGAAGTGATTGTCAGGTGTTGTTATTTGAAAATTTTAAATTTACATATAATTTGAATATTTTTATATTTTCTATTCATAATATATTTTCATCTCTTAAAATTTTATAAGTTTCTCTTATTAAAATTTTATAAATTTATCCCCTAATATAAAATATTGCGTACGCTCCTGCATAAAATGATAAATAATTTTTTTATTAAAACATAAATATTATGTTAAACATTTTTTTTAAATAGTCTGGAGTGTTTATAAGGTAATAACTGTTCACAAATTTTTTTAACCTATAACGACGCACGCACAACTTGCAGACGAAGATTCTCGAACTCAAATTTATAAGAAGAACAATATTTTTAACATATAAACTTAATAGATTCATTATATTAAATAATTTTAAAATATATATGCACAATAAATATTTTATCAAAATATTAAATGGAACATTATTGTTGCTTTTCTCTTCATGTGCTATGTTTAGCAAGATTAATACGGCAGTATGGGAGGTGATTCCATTTTTGTATTGTAAAATGAGCAAAATAGGCGCGATTAATTCCCAACGTTTTAGCAAAAACGAGGTTGGGTTGATATTCTTTAAACATATTTTGAGTTTGAAATTTTGTATACACTAAAGTTTTCGTTAACAAATAAAATAAACGAACATGCAAATTTGACTTACCGATCTACAAGCAACCACCCATAAACATAGGGAACAGGGGGCAGCTGTCGTCCCTGAAATATTCAAATTAGTATATATTTTAAATATTTTTTTTAAATTTTTAATTGATAATTTATTTTCACCCTTAGAAATTTACAAGTTTGCTCACTCTTAAAAGTTTAAAAATTCGTCCACTTTAACATAAAATTTTGTATCCATTTCTACCACATACAACAATTATAATTTATGTGGTTCTAATCAAACAGGCTACTTGGTTGGTTCCTAACACATTAATCATACGTCTAACAAATTTATATTCCAAATGCGATTAATGGTGGCACTTTAAGCATTTATAGGGTTATTTTGTCTTTTAATTTTTGATGGTTAAGTCGTTGGCATTTGAATTGTTCTCTTAAAAAAATTAATATCTTTTCAACCTACAAAAATTGAACAGTTGGTGGATTTATATTTTGTTAAAGTTAAAAAAATATCCAATAAATTCGATTGGTTGTAACAAGTGCATGGTCTTCAACAAGTATTTTATATGTGGGCTTATACCGAAATAAGCATCTAAACTGTATCATTTTTTTTCTAAATAGGTGTATACAATATTTTTTAGACCATTCAAGTGTCTAATGTTATAAACGTTACTACTTTAGGTGTCCGGGTCGTCAATAATATTAATTTCCTCCATTAAGTGAAACATGTCACAATCTGATAATTTTAAATTTTTTATATAAAAATAAAAAAAATAAAATTATTTATTTTTAAAAAGAACACTAATTTTGAAACAACCCTAAAACATTAAAAACCTTCACTTCAACCCTTAAACCCACGCCTACCGGCGTCTTTTGCCATCCACGAAGCTCCACCCGACCTAATTTCCCCTTGGCGACCAAACCCCCTACGAAATTGTGACCGGTCCACGGTTGATCGACGACGAATCAACGTTTTATACAACGCGGAGCCTAGGATAAAAATCACGGTTCCGACGACTAACCAGTGACAAATACGTTGCCGTATAGCTAGGATGATGACAGAGACTACTTCGGTGGCGGTGGTCGTAGTCGGAAAGGGCGGCGACAGATTAGTGTTAGGATTTAGGGATTTTAGGGATTTTAAGGTTTTTTTGTAATTTAAAAGAAATTAAGATTTTTTATAAATATAATAATATTTTTAATAATTAAAAAAATAAATTACAAAATTATCATATTGTGACACGTGTCATTTAACGGAAAAAACTAACGGCCATTACGTTCTGGACACCTAAAGTGATCACATTTGTAACGTTAGACACCTAAATGATCGAAAAAACATTGTAAACACCTATTCCAACAAAACAAAGTATAGTTTAAACACTTATTTGATTATTAAGCCTTGTACGTGATTTCATTGTGGTGTCTTAAATTTTTAGATTGAAATTCAATCGGCGATGAAATCTCCAGATGTGAGTCTTATATTAGTTAGTCTAATATGCCTAGTCAGAAAGATTTAATATCAAATAGACTCCAGATGTGATTTGAACGAAGAATAAGAAGATGTTCTTAAGAACATCGCGAGTCTAAAATATAATTTGTTAATGTATTAAAGTTAAAAACCATAGAAATTGATTATAACAAAAAATATTATCAAAAATGTAATTTTTTAGGTTGAACATATTAATATTTTAGGTTAAACTGAAAATGTTATAAATTTGTATAATTTTTTCAATCGCAAATCCTAATACCATTACAATGTAATATTTTCGGTTGCAAATAAAAATGTTATAAATTTGTATAACTTTTTAAGTTTAAAATTGCTTTAAATTAATCTTAAATTAGTTACCCCATAGTAGAAAAATCGTCTTAAAGAACAATCATTCAGAAAGAAAATAGTAAAAAAAATTGAACATTCAAATCTCAGTAAAGGAAAACTTGACTTAAATTATAATAAATAAAGGGAGAAAGATAAAGAAAGCATATTCAAGAACCAAACCCAATGGGAGAAAAAACTAATATTTTTGTCATCATCTAATCTAAATCCTAAACCCTAAACCCTAAATCTTAAATCCAGGTATTCATTTTATGATCATCAGAAAAGGGTAGATAAAGAACAGGGGTTGGTTTAGAAATGAGAAATGTGAGAATTCATGAAGTAAAATTTAGTTTATGAATGGTGTTGCTACACAAATGATCATTAATGTTAAAATAAATTTTTAATTTTTCCAATGGAATTTTAAAAGCAATAAATTGGTTACTAACATTATCGATTTATAATAAATTAATCATTCATCATTAACCACCGTTAGTGTAATGTGACACGTTAAGTTGACTTGTTTAACACTATTTGAACACATGGGACAAGAATTGACTGACCTTTGACTATCCTCCACCACGGTTCCAAGATAATATATTAGTATTCGTAAAACTTAGGACGTGTTATATGCTCAAACTTTCAAACTGAGTATTTTTGTCTGTGTTGGTCAACTGCTACCGTATGTTTGAAATGGTGATAAATTATTGTTATCATGATTTGGATTGATGAAGCTACAACATGCTACATTGCTTATGTGTTCAATATTAACATATGCTTACTGTTATCATACAAATCATTGTTTATGCTTAATTATATTACTGCATGCTTAAACCTATCAAGTGATCTCAATAGTTAAGGTGATTATTATTCTCCTCGGATGTGCTGAGTTCGAGCAGCTACGCCTACAAGGTATGTATACATCGTTGTTAATGATTAAAAAAGATTTTGAATATATACTACATTGCAAAATGTGAAAGTTATCGGTTGTTCACAATGAATAGTAGCTATATTTTCCTTCACCAAATAATTTTTGATAAACAAGTCTTTTTTTAATTAATCTGGGTAAATACAAGGCAATATCTGTTCGAAGATAACTCTCAACTATTTGATATTGAACGCTCACATCTCTGCCATTCATGATGCTCGAACCATTTGACAAATAAGTTTTTAAGTTCCTCAGCGTATACCATGTTTACTGTGAGGCACCTAAGGTATTTGAGAACAGTACGGGTATCCGAGAAAAGAAGTGGACAATCACCAATAATCCCTGCAAGAGCATGTACCATTGACAAACTTATGGAACCGAACTCGATCTCTAACAATTATTTCACGCTCATAAATTTTACTGATGATCTTTGTGACTTCATGGCAATCAATACAAACTCTTAGGTTCTTTACTATTCGAATCGAGGCTGGTGCTTTCGTCTTTAAAAGTCCATAAGCAATGGCAAGCCTCTCACTGTGCTCACACAGGTAAATTCCTTTCTCTTCATCAGCAACATTGTGAAGCACATCAGATATCAGTGGTTCATGCCCAGAATCGCTAACTCGCTCAGAAATAACCCTTAAAACTTGTCTTATCTCCTTTGCCTCGGGATGATGCCAGTCTCCCGACACAAACTCATGAACAAGACCACCAATTTCAATTGAGGTACACCCAGGAACTGCCTTCATGCCCATTTGCTTCATCTTTTTTCTCACATAGCTCATCTTTTCCCACTGAGAAACTGATGCATAGAAATTTGACAGCAGAATATAGTTCTCTGTATTTGTTGGCTCTAATGCAAGAAGTTGCTCTCCCGCGATTTCACCTTTATGAAGCATCTTATTCTTCTGGCAACCAATGAGTAATGTTCGCCATATTACTGGATTTGGTGAGAAAGGCATGGTTTGAACAAAACTACAAGCCTCATCAACATGGCCAGCTCGGCAGAGAAGATCAACCATACAACCATAATGCTCTAGTGATGGTTCGATTCCTAATTCAATCATGCTTGACCAATATCTCCTACCCAAAGAAACCAGTCCACCATGGGCACAAGCAGATAAAATGCCAATAAAAGTAACATGGCTAGGTGTAACCTGGAAGAAAACAGACAGTAAGAATCACCAATTTGCATTTTTTTCTGTCAAAATTACTTACAAAACATCAGGCCAGCTTGATCAAAGCATGAGCATATATGCATAGGATCTAATAACATTGTCTTCTGGAATGTAATGCTTTATGAATCTAAACTCTAAGATGCTTGTGCTGTACATCTACTTCCATACCTTGGATTCCTCCATTCTAGAAACCGCTTCCAAAGCCTCCTCTGCTAAGCCGTGAACTGCCAATCCAACAACCATCGAACTCCAAGCTTTCTGGTCTTTTACAGGCATTCCACTGAAAATTTCTTTTGCCTTTTCAATGCATCCACATTTTGCATACATGTTAACTAGCGCAGTACTAATCATGATATCAGTCTCAATCATCTGCTTCTCAATATACGCATGGATCCACCTACCAATATCCAATGCCCCTGCCATAGCACATGCAGAAATCACACTAACCATCGTTACCTTATCAGGGACAACTTTCGACATTTGCATTTCCCTAAACGCACCAAAAGCCTCATTGACCAATCCCATCGTAGCATAGCCACTTATCATTGTACTCCATTCTACCAAGCCTCTCTCGGGAATTTCATCGAACACTTTTTCCGCCAGCTCAATATCTTCGCATTTCGCATAAAAATTTAGCAACCCTGTTTGAACAAACGAGTTCGAGCCAAACCCGGATAGGAAAACACGAGCATGAACCTGTTGACCGTCTTCGAAAGACAAAATATTGGAGCAAGCCTTAAGCACGAAAGCCAGGGTAAATGTATTAGCTGAAGGATACCCTTTTCTGACCATTTTTTTATATAAAGAAAAGGGCACCCTGGATTGGGTTCCAATAAGAGAATAACCCCGAATAAGGGAATTCCAAGAGAAAATATTTGGGTTGGGGATTTGATCGAAAACTTTGTGAGCAAGATTGATATCTCCATGGCGAGAAAGAGCACAAAAACCAACTATTTTCGAGAGGAGGAAGGAAAGGGTGGAAATGGGATGGAGGCGAGTCAGAACACGCGCATAGATTTGACGAATGACGCGCGTATTTGGGCATTTTTCAATTAGACGAGCAATTCTCTCTTCTTCCATCTTTTTTCTTTGCTCATGAAACACAGTTCATTTGTTCTACGGGAAACAAAACTTAACGGCTACCGAAGGTAAATGGACCTCATATTCAGGCCTGGATTCTCTGTGACTTATAAAGATGTGGCGGGAAAGCCCTATTTCCTTATTTTATATTTAAGGGTAAATTATATCAGATATCATCGAACTTTAGGTGTTGTATTGTTTATACCAATAAGTTTTAATTTTATCAATTATGATACTGAACTTTTATTTCATTTCAATTACATCACTGGGCCGTTCAATTGTTAATTGTCAGATCAAAATGACTTCTCTTTGGTGAGGTGTCTATGTCGGCAGTCGTCAACCATGTCATTGTGTCGTTAACGATTTAACGGTTCAGTGGTATAATTGAAATGAAAATCAAAATTTAGTACTATAATTGTAAAAATTGAAACTTAAATGGTATAAACTAGAGAAAGCCAAAAGTTCGGTGATATTTGACTTAGTTTATCTTATCTTTAATTTCATACATAAACAAGACGTTTGGAAAATAGTATTAAATTACTATTATTTAAATCTAATTATAGAAATATATATTTATTACTTTGTGAAAAATAAAATGATTCATTGAACTCGACTGAATTCATATTTTAAAATATTTTGAAATAAAATCACAATCTGACTCCACTAAAAAAATATGGACGAATATATGACTTTATGTTAGGGGTAAACTTATAGATGAGGACGAACTTATAAAATTTTAACAGAGTAAAAACATATTATTAATAAAAAATACACATAAAAAATCTAAAATATAAAAAAATTGAAAATTTCAGGAGGACCATTGATCTCACCCACTCCCTCAGTTTATTCTTAAAAAAAATTAACTCTCACGAATTTAAATAACATAATTATATATATATATATATATATGCATGCATGCATATAACTATTTGACTTATGATATCATATTTGGTCAATTTTATTATGGAGTTGGTGACACTTTAGCTGGAACCTACACAGTGAGAAACTACATGGAGTAATAAGTTTGTGTTGTTACCTATATTATGAAATGAATATATATAATATAATATAAAATTCTTTCAGTTTTGTATAGACTTATGACTGTTGGACGAGTGAAATATATGGCTGAGATTAACTCCTCGGGTCATTGTTTAGATTAATTTCTCGTTTTCTTTATAGCTAATATCTTCTTATTTCTTATTGTTAATCTCATTCATCTATTTTCACTCATTTAATAGTGAAACTAAAAGAATTTATTTCCTAAAATTGTGTAAAAATAAAAGAATTTAATATTGTGTAATCACTGGCGGAAGCGTTGGCCACGTCAATTATTTTTTAAAAATATTAATATATATATATATATATTAGAAAAATAAAGAAAGAAAAAATTTACCAGGTCCCTCAATTTAAAAAAATTATATTTATGAAAAATAAAAATACTTTAATCACTGATATAATAAAATTCCTAGTTATACCCTTGTATGTAATAGGATTATATATATATATATATATATATATATATATATATATATATATATATATATAATTGGAGTTGGAATATATATGTTTTAAGAGGATGGTACCAGTCGCAGATGTAGGTACGAGTAGGGTTGCAAAATCAGGTAATCGTTCAGGTTTCAGTCGGATTCTAATAGGTTAGGTCAAATCAGATACAAGTTGAGTCAGGTCAATTTAATGGGTTGACTCCGATTAGGTTGGGTCCAGGTCAAATCAGTTCAGGTTATTTTCGGGTTGATTTGACATCAAATTTAGTTCGGGTTCAAGTCGGGTTAATTTCAGTTCAGATTGATATCAGTTCAGGTCAAAATGGTTCAGGTCCGAAGCAGTTAAATATCAGCTTAATTTAGGTTCGGATGGACTTCAGTCGAATCTTTTTCAATTCGGGTGACATCATTGACAGACAAAATTCATGTAGAATCTTACCAGATACGGATTGACTTCATGTCGAGTCATTTTTTGGTTAATTATTTTTTGCCTTTCAATCTTTCATGAACGTGAATGATAACATCGATTTGTAATTAGTAATTATATATGATTTAGAATAAATTAAAAATATAAATAATTATGGGTCAATTTTGATAAAAATATAATTTGAAGTACTAAATTGAACAAACATAAAATTAGAAATAAAAAATTAAATAAATTAAATAACACACATAGAAAAGGGATCAAACTGAATTAATTATAAAATGTGAAATTAAAATTAATATAAAAAATAGATTAAATTGAATAAATTTAAAAATTGGTGAACAAAATAGAATTTGAAATGAAATCTATTATGTGATTTACAGGGTTTGAAGTAAATTACAAAAATATAAATAAGTATGGGTCAATTTCAATACAAATATAATTTGAAGGACTAAATTGAACAAATATAAAATTACAAATTAAAATTTAAATAAAATAAACAACATAAAATGATCATATCAAAATAATTGTAAAATGAGAGGAAAAATTATAAAATTGACTGAATTACATTCATTTCAAAAGTTGAGGAAAACTTTATATATATATAAATTTGCCGAGGCCCAAATTTAACTAGTATTTATAGGCTAAATTTGTAATTTTCAAAACTTTTATAATATTTTTTTTCATTATATCATTTCACACTCTCTCTACAATTTGTTTTTCTCAAAATTCTCTACATTCTCTCTAGAATTTATAGCCACAAACAACAAAAAATCAGAAAAGTTTGATTTTTTCAATGAAACTGTCATTTTTCATCTGTGTTCATCCCCTTTTTAATCCTTACAAACACAAAAAAACTTGACACAACCTATTTTTTTAAGATCAAAACTCAAGAATTTCATATTTTTCTTCACATGTTGTTCATTTTTCCCCTTTTTAATTCTCGAAAATAGAAAAATCACTCACCTTTTTGGGTTAACTCGATCAAACCCAATCTTTGTTCATCTTCTGTTCATCCCCAAAACCCTCGTTTAATCCTTATAAACACCAAAAATCTTAACCAATTATGTCTTTTAGATCAAAATTCAAAATCGAAACACTGTTCATATTATGTTCATCCCAAAACCTTTGTTTGATTTATACAAACACAAAAAAATTTCCCTACTTGTTTTATAAGATTAAAACCCCAAACTCTAACATTATTCATATTCTTAAAAATGGATGTCCCTTGTTCCCATATATAATGAGGTAAGGGGGAGGTAAGATAGTAGGCTGCCCCCAACACTAAGTTGAGAGCAGCTTCCGTAGGAGACCTCCAAATTATGAAATGCCCTCCATGTGACTCGATCCCATGACCTCAAGATTAAGAACCTTTTGCTCTACCAACTGAGCTGGATGGTCATTTCATTATTCATATTCTTACCTAACCCTAATTCCCTAAATCCCAAAATCTGAGACTCTTCCCCTTCTTTTTCTATTTCCAAAATCCCAACTCCCTAACATTATTTATCCCCTTTTCCCCCTTCTCTAATCGAAACTCTTCCCCTTCCCCCATATTTCAAACAGTGTTAATCACCTATTCCTATTCTCTAACAGAGACTCTTCTTTTCTTCCTTCCCCCCCAAAATCCCAAAACCCCATTATTCTTCTCTAATCGAAACCCCATTCTTCTTTTTATGTTCCCAAAAACCTTGAAACTCCATCACTATTCATTATTTTCTCTAAATGAGAATCTTCCCCTTCTTTTTATTCTTTAACCGAGTTTTTTATTATTATTTTGTTTTTAATTGTTATTTCGAGACTAATAATTTTGTTAGGATTGATGAAGCTCAATTTGAACAACCAAAAAAGTGCCAAGAAGGGTGAATTGGAAAAATTATATTTAGGGAGTAAGGAGAAAGAAAAGATAGACAAGTTTGCACAACGATTTATAGTGGTTCGACTTCTCAACTAAGTCTATATCCACTACCTTAGCTCCTTACTAAGGATTTTCTAACAAATTCACTAATTTGTTCTTTCTTTTCAAGGATAAAGAGATAACCTTTACAAACTCCCTATCTTTTAAATTGGCTAAAATAGAACCAAAATCCCTTTACAAAAGGATAAAAGAAATAAACAATACAACTCTACAGGGTAGGGTGTTTACAAAATTAAGCTCACAAGAACAAAATATTTACAAGAGAATAGGAATAAAGAGTGAAAAGCTCTTCTCTTGTTTTTGATTGCTTGGATAGGTGTTCTAACCCTTCTTAAAGTGTCTTGAACTTGTATTTATATGTTGGAATGAGGTTGTGGCCATTTTTAGCCATTAGGGATGATTTTTAGCCATTTGGGGATGTTTTCTCTGCAAAATAAAGTTGCCCAAGACAGAGGGTATCGGTACTCCTATAGGTAGTATCGGTACTACCTTTGTAATATTTAAATAAAACTAGCCGTTACTAGCCGTTGGGCCTGACAGTATCGATACTAGGCCTATGGTATCGATACTACTATATAAAGTAGTATCGGTAACCTTTTGGGTATTGATACCATTTTTGCATTATGGAATTTAAGCAATCCTGGTAGTATCGATATTACCTAGAGAGTATCGATACTTCTCTTACAAAGGGTATCAGTACCACATGAACAATATCGGTACTGTTTATATAATATCGAAACTGTAAGAACAATATTGGTACTACGTACGTTGAAAAACAATTTTGTGCTCAAATTCACTTTTAATGGACTTTGAATTATTTTTGAAAACTTTGAATGAATTCAATTTAAGTCTAAAAACATTTTGCCTTAAATTGTTATATTAAAACATTTGAAAAATTGTTTTGGGCAAAACTATCCCTTAATAAAACATTTAATTAAAAAGAGACATATTTTGGAAAATGTTAAAAGCTCCATCTTTTTCATTGAGAAATTGAATTTTTCAAACCATACTTCTCAACCTTTTTGTTATATAAAAAATAATTCAACTTTAAAGTTAAAAAATAACAATGGAGAGTAAATGGTAAATTTTATCATAAAATCTTTTGAAAAATTAAAAGCTCCCCCTCAATAAATGCATTCCAAAAAAATTTTGACTTTAAAGAGCATGACACTTAAAAAAATTGAATTTCAACAAAGATGAACAA